GTTCGTTGCATCTCTGACACTGTCTAACCATCTCATCCTTTGCCGTCCCCGTCTTCTTTGACCTTCAATCTTTCCCAGCATCAGGGTCTTCTCCAGTGAGTGCTCCCTTCTCATTTCTTTAGGTAGCAGAGATCAGTTTCTCTGGAGAAAATGGTGGACTCAGTGTCATTATACCCTGCTGAGGTTGCCACAGCAAATTGACACTGAGTGTCCAAGGGCGGGGCACCCGCCCAGAGCCTCTTTCTAGAGGCCGTTGTATTTATTTCCACAATGGGCCTTTTTCCTAGTATAAGCACCAAAGGCCTGGAAAAAAACAGCTGAGACTTCCTCTCCCCCATCTTTCCTGGAGATGTTTCATGACCTGAGAAATAGATACCCCAGGCAAAGGAGCCTGTACACAAACTCCAGGGAAGACAGCTTATGGCCTGATACCGTTTTCCTGTGTGTGTTCTGTCTCTCAAGTTTTCAGTTGAAAACTAATTTGGATATCTTGAGAGAAAAGTGGCATAGAAATGCATCAAAGAACAAAATCCTGTCAACAAGGGTCTTGGGCCAAGTATTGCAGCAGTTAAAGCAGGAAGCATTTGTTTTGTGTCCCTCCCTCACCCTTACTTGAATGTGCTCAGGGTATTTTACACAGATGTCCTACCAATGTATCCTTATGAAAACCCTGTTAGAGTTAGACATGGTGGACCACCTAATGCATTTCATGACTGCATAGGAATTTGAACCCAGTTCTCTCCACTCAAAGTGTAGCACTTCATTTCACTATGCCACCTGAGCTCATTCATAACATATCATACTTACCATAGAACTCGAGGCATCATACATAGGATTCCCAGGCAGCCTTCCATCTTAGCCCTGACACAGCAAGATGGCTGCATTTTGGTGCTTTCAAACCATGCTCTGTAAGCTGTGTTTATGCTATCACAAATCAACCAGACTGTCCTGCATACCATACCTCCCCCTTGCAATCTACACACAGGTTTGGATACATGTCTGGATACACTGGTCATCTTAGCCCTGACACAGCAAGATGGCTGCATTTTGGTGCTTTCAAACCATGCTCTGTAAGCTGTGTTTATGCTATCACAAATCAACCAGACTGTCCTGCATACCATACCTCCCCCTTGCAATCTACACACAGGTTTGGATACATGTCTGGATACACTGGTGTTGGCAAATAGGCTGCCCGTGTCATGTTTCCACTGCTGATTCAAGAGGTATATGAGACATGGCTGCAGCCATTCTTTCTGTGATGGATCCATAGGAGCCAACTGGGTAGAAACGGCTTAAAGTATTTCTGGTGGTATTAACAGAGATGCCCTGTTTTAAAGTTCTGCTGCTTACGAGACCATTTGCACTGGGGTTCCACTTGCCAAGGAGAAAATGCATGGACAGATACCTTAACTATGAGAGCAATACATAAATGTTTAGTAGTTTCAAATGAAAGCTATGGTATGAGACCCAGATAATAACACTTCTTACACAGTGATCCTTAAAATGCAACCTTGTTTAGACAGATTTTGGAAGTATGTGCATTTCAGTCCAGAGGTTATTGTCTGTATTGCAACACTGCAGATCCCATTTGAGGGCAATGCAACTTGTACAGATGGTATGTAGAAGCCGTTACAGAAAACTATCAGCCAACGAGCAGCTCAAAAACCCACCTCAAATACATAGGATTGTCTTACACAGTCTAACAAGGGTTATCTTTGGTAAACATTTCTTCAGATACATTGAAACAGACTCTGCTAACCATTTGTTAACAAACCATCTGTTAACTCTTATTTAAAAAGGTAAAGGTTCCCTTGGGTTGCGGTGCTCATCTCCGTTTCAAAGCCGAAGAGCCAGCCAGCGCTGTCCGAAGACGTCTCCATGGTCATGTGGCCGGCATGACTAAACACCGAGGCGCACGGAACGCTGTTACCTTCCCACCGAAGTGGTACCTATTTATCTACTTGCAATTTCTTGCTTTCGAACTGCTAGGTTGGCAGGAGCTGGAACTAGAGACAGGAGCTCACTCTGTCATGCAGCACACTCAGGTCTCGAACTGCTGAACTACCGACCTTCCACAGCCTGCAGTTCAGTGTCTTAACCACTTGAGCCACCGCAGCTCCTCTTTTTTTAACTCTTATTATCTGTATGCTAATTTGTTACTATTCACAGGTCTTGCCAACTC